ATCAACCATGTGTTGGATTCATTTTATTATAAAAGTTCCCAACCATATGTTGTTACAGTTTGTAACTGATCTTTCCATAACATTTCTATGGAAACAAGATTGCAGATAGATATTTTTGGCAAGTTTCTACTTCTTAAATTAGTGAAAAAAATAGAACTTTTTCTTCCTTTATTCAAAAGAAATTTGGTTGATATATGAATGGATAATAATCTGACTTTATCACTTGCCACTCACTCAACTCCAGACAGGTCTTGTGATCTGATAATCTAGAAGTTCCTCTACAGATATATATTACATATGAATTTTTACCAGCACCAAATAACCAGCAACAACCTACTTTGCAAAAGTCTTCTCAAATGAAGCCTTCTAGGCTTTGTGAGCATCTGAAGAAAATGCATTCTGATAGAGAAGACAAAAACTTAACATATTTTCAGACCCTTTGAGAAAACATTCTGAAAAGGAAAACTATTGGAAATTTGTTTGCTAGCATTTCACATCAATCCATTGATAGTCTGTATGTATCATACATTTTATTGCTGATTACCAAATGGTAAGCCTTATAAAATTGGAGAAGAGCTTATTCTGCCAGCAATAAAAGAAGTTGTGTACACAGTTTTACACAAGTCACCCAAACAAATTATTAAGGCTATTCCTCTTAGTGACAACTTTGTTCAAAGAAGAGTGAATGAAATGGCTGAAAATATTGGGGAAACATTATGTAATATACTAAGGAATACAGAATTTAGCTTGCAATTGGATGGCTTTACTCTTTACTTTTTGCTTATGTTCATTTCTTAAAAGATGAATGAATAGTTATTGCAAGACAACTAAAAACAGATACAAAAATTAGTATTTCATGGTGTTGAGAAAAAAGCTGTGCTTGGTATGTTTACAGTACATTGTATAATACCCTGGCAACATCTGGTTACAAAAAACCTAAGTAGTCAACTTCACAAATCATTGAGCACTGTTATCACAGTAATAAATAAAATAAAAAAAATATTATCTCAATTCATGACTGTTTTGACAACTCTGGTATGAGAATGGTGAAGATTTTGAATGTTTATTGTTGCACACAGAAGTTAGATGGCTGTCAAAGAGAGACTGAGATGTTTCTATTTTCTTTTTAACACAGTTGTTAAATTCTTTAAAGATTCAAATTCTGTTCTCTGTGATAAACTATGAAACATCAAACATGACATTGCTTACTTATCTGAAATATTCACCAAGTTCAATGAAGTTAATTTAAAAACTGCAAGGAAATTTAATTAACATTTTCAAGGTCAAATCAGCCCATTCCATGTTTTTGTCTAAGTTACAGTTATTCAAACTTAACATAGCCTGTCGTGAACTCTTTCAGTTTCAAATCCTTACTGAAGTGGAAGAGAACATACCAGATGATGACCTTCAAATATAATGTGCAAACCTGGATGGGCTGCACAGAGACATGTCTGATAGATTTCAGGATCTTTTTTGCTTGAGATACCAAATTGTATGAGCAATCCATTCCTAGATATAAGCAATGAAGAGACAGGGATTATCGAGAAAGAACTGATTTCACTCCAAAATGATACTGAACTGGGGCCAAAGTTTAAAAAATCATATCAAGAATTTTGTTTACAAAAAGATATTTCTGATCACTACACAGCACTGTAGAACAAAATAAGGATCTACTTCATTGCCTTCCCAACATCATATTTAGTGCAACAAGATTTCGGAACTGTCACCCAGTTACTTTGCAAGTAAAGGAACAAACAGAAAATAACTGAATGTGGTGATCTCCGACTTCTTCTTAATACCTTCAAGGCTGATGTTTGTAATGATATTGCCTACTCCTCCATTCCGGATTCCCGGAACGTCAATCTGCTTTTTATATATACAAACACGCATGCGCTTTTATCAATAAATATACACCATGACAGTCCCTTATTCATAACTACACACATGTTTGTGTTATTATTATTTATCAATACACATCCATGCACTACACGGCATGACATGGTGGCAGATATCATGGCTACAGTGTCAATACAAGTACCTAGTCTTGACTGGGGCTCGCCAAACATCGCCGAATCATTCAAACTATTTCAGCAACGTATGGAGCTTTACTTCACTGTCAAGGCAACAAAACACGAAGACAAGGTGCCGCTAATTCTCCTCGCAGCCAGTGAAGAAGGCCTACACTGATACAACAGTTGGTCCATGACAGACGACGACCGCAAGGATCCACAAAAAATATTCTCTGCCTTCATGGAGCAGCTCAAACCGGCAACCAACCACCGTGTCTGTAGGCTCGAACTCAGCAAATACCAACAAAAGCCAACTGAAACAATGGACATCTTCGTTAACAGATGTCGACTGCTAGCAAAGAAATGTGACTTCACTGCCGACGAGGTAAACGAACGCCTTGTTGAGTTACTAATTGCCAGCACACCCATACCCAAACTACAAAAGGAACTGTTGAACAAACCAAAGGGTTACAAAATCGAAGAGGCTGTTAAATAAGCCCGTTCACATGAAGCATTAGCAATATATGTCAGCCAACTCTACCAGCTACAGGGATCACCACAGATAGCCACAATAAACCATGGTACGCAGCAAGGGAGTGATAGAAAATACGGACCGGTTTGCAAAAATTGTGGACGCAGTCACCATTTTGGCAAAGAACGCTGCCCTGCCAAGAACGACACATGCAACACATGTGGCAAAGTAGTCTGCATATCAGAGAAACACAAGACCAAGAGACAACAAGGGAAAACCTGGTCTAACGGTCGTAACCAGTCGAGACACCCACAACAGGAGTTTGGCAGGAAAGTTGACAGCGTCACCAAACATAACGACCAAGTCATGGCCAACAGACACAGCGATGAAAAACCTCACCTTTACCTCCATCGAAACCAACAGTGGAAAATCATCAAATATGAAAGGCCCTCGAAATGAGGCATTTGTTGATTTAAACATCAAGTTGATGGACCACCCAGGCACTCATACTTTCAACCTGAAGCTAAATACAGGGGCACAAGCAAACACACTGCCTATCCACATATTCCGCAAGATGTACCCCACCAGTATAGACAAAGCTGGAAATCCAATACCAGGATCACACACCTCAACACAATACCTACTAACAGCCTTCAACAACACAAAAATAAACTGTTATGGCACCACAAATATTAGGTGCAAATACAAGAACTCTCCATGGCTGGATACCCAATTCTACGTGGTTGATGTTCCAGGAGCAGCCATATTGGGCCTGCCAACATCAGTAGCACAATGAACTGTGCTATCTCAGTCCAGCACCAACTGAACTAGTGACAATGAACTGTGCTATCTCAGTCCAGCACCAACCCATCAACAGTGTAGCTGACCTAATGCGCCTCTACCCTGACAGATTTGACCGTATTGGTGAATTTCGGAGGACTCACAAGCTTGCTGTTAACCCCAATGTGTCATGCCACATAAACCCACCAGGAAGGACACCTATAGCCATGCGCGAAAAACTCAAAGCTGAGCTCGACAACATGGAATCACAAGGAGTCATTCACCGTATTGAAGAACCTACAAACTGGGTAAGCTCTCTTACATATGTCACCAAACATGACAACAATATAAGAGTCTGCCTAGACCCACGAGCACTAAACAAAGCTCTCATACAGCCATACCACCAAATTCTGACTGTCGAAAAGCTCAACCATCGATTTGCAGGAGCAAAATTCTTCTCAAAATTGGATGCTAAGTCTGGATACTGGTCCATAAAGCTCAATTGTGAAAGCCAGCCACTAACAACTTTCCAAACGCCATTTGGGAGGTACTGTTTTGAACGACTTCCATTTGGTCTGAGTGTAAGTCAGGATATTTACCAACTTGAGATGGACAGGATACTCAAGAAGTGCACTGGAGCCTGTGGTATAGCTGACGATATCACCATATATGGGTCAGCAGAACATGAACACGACGAAAACTTAAAGCGCTTTATGGAGGTCACTACTCAAGAGGGCCTTACCCTGAACTTGAAGAAATGCAAGATTAAACGCCGGGAAATCTCCTTCTTTGGAAACCTGTATACACATACAGGATTGAAACTTGACCCAACAAAAGTACGTGACCTACAGGAGATGTCAGAACTATGTAACAAAACAGAATTGCAACAGTTCTTAGGTGTGATTACATACCTATCTTGCTTCATCAAGGACTTCAGCTCCAAAACTACTGTGTTGCATGACCTGTTACACAAGGACTCTGATTTTCAATGGGAACCACATCACCAGAAAGTTTTCAGAGATCTAAAGAGTGAAGTATCTGAAACGTCTCTGCTCCACTATTTTGACCCCAAACTCCCAATTTACATGCACTGTGATGCGAGTATACGGGGAATAGGTGCATCTATGCTACAACCGGATGCAGATGGCAATCTATCGCCTGTCACATATGCTAGCAAGAGCTTAACACAAACAGAACAAAGATATGCATGTATCGAGCTACTAGCCATCGTATTTGGCACACAGAGATTCCACACATATCTGAATGGCCACAATTTCCAAGTCGTCACCGACCATAAACCCCTTACAATGATTATCAACAAACCGCTCATACAACCGCTTATACAACTCCAGGGATACAACTTCAGGCTCACTTACAACAAGGGATCTGACAACATCTTGGCTGATGGACTATTACGCCTACCATCATCCGGTAATTCGGACCCTATCGAGCTTGATGTCCGGGTTGATACTGTCCGTTTCTCCACTGATCGCATTGAACAACTGAGAAACTGTACAACACCGGATCCTTTGCTTAACCAGCTGCGAGAGACCATCATCACTGGATGGCCAGAGACAATCAAGCAGCTGCCCACTGACATCAGAGTGTTCTGGGGTCTAAGAGACCAGCTCTCAATTGATGATGATCTTATCCTCAAAGGACAACAAATTGCCATTCCCCAGACACTTCAAGAAGACATCCTAAAACAGCTTCATACCGCTCGCTTAGGACAAGAATAAACAAAACTCCTCGCCAAGGACACTGTCTACTGGGTAAACATAAACAGAGACATCAAGCAGTTCACAGTCATGCAGCATCTGCCAACAGCATCAGCCATCCCAAATGCAAGAACCCCTTATGCAACATGACATCCCAACAAAGCCATGGGACGTAGTTGGCACAGACTTGTTTGATCTCCATGGAAGTCAATGGTTGATCATAGCCGACTATTACTCCAAGTACCCTGTAGTCAAACACCTACCTGCTCACTCACCAAGCAGTGTTATAGTAAACATCACACGCCAAGTCTTTGTAGAGTTTGGGATACCATCAAAGGTAGTCAGTGATAATGAACCACACTTTTCAAGTCACCTCTACCATGAATTCGCCAAAGAATGGGGTTTCCACCATGAGACCACTTCACCTCGGAGACCACAGGGAAATGGCTTCATAGAACGGCAGATAAGAACTGTCAAGAACATCCTCAAGAAAGCCAAGCAGTTGGGAATAACGCCTGAAATTGTGCTGCTGCACTGCCGCTGTACTCCAATTTCAAGCGTCATACCAAGTCCTGCACAACTACTCATGGGTAGACAAATCCAATCTCCACTGATTACCAAAATCAGAAACGATCACCAAGATCAGGATCAGATATATAGCGCAATTCAACAACGTCAACAAAACCAAAAGAGGTACTTTGACTGACATGCACACAAGGAGGAACTACCACCCCTGTACCGTGGCCAAAGGGTAAGGGTACAAAACCCTATGTCTGGAAGCTGGGACCCAGCGACTGTAGTATCCCAGGCAGATGGTCACCGCTCATATCTCCTGGAGAATGTCAATGGGTATGTGCTGCGAAGAAACCGGCAACACATAAGGAGTATCCCAGTGACGCCTGACCCACAACTGTCGCAAGACGTCTCAAAAACAGCTTCACAGAAATGTGTGACTTTTGTGGATACACCTGTGTGTGCAATCCTAAACATGCCAAATGACCCTCAAAAACGTACCCGTAGTGGTAGGATGGTGCAACCGCCATCAAAGATGAACTTATGATGAACACATTCTCATAACCTCACAGCAAGCACTTAATGGGGCAGAATAATCCCTGCTTTGCTGTAGCTGTTCAGGTAGTCTACCCTGAACTAGCCTTTCTGTTTATTTGTTATGTTTGTTTTGTTTTAGAGACCTAGTATTACGATCTTTGTTTCGGAGAAAGGGGGATGTAATGATATTGCCTACTCCTTCATTCCGGATTCCCGGAACGTCAATCTGCTTTTTATATATACAAACACACATGTGCTTTTATCAATAAATATACGCCATGACAGTCCCTTATTCATAACTACACACGTGTTCGTGTTATTATTATTTATCAATACACATCCATGCACTACACGGCGTGAAAATGTTGAGAAACTGATATACATGCACCAGCTACATCAATCACCTTAAAACTGAACATGAAGTTATGAAAAAAATATAAATTTTCTCTTTTATATTAATAAACAAGCTAAAATATTAAAATAAATTGGTTTACTATACTTATATATATCCTCATGTTTCTCCAGCATTTTGTTGTAATTGGCATTAATTTTATTAAGAACACAATTTAAAAAGAATAAAATATGGCCTCCAGAAACAAAACCAATGTGCATGATGTGTGGGTCTCCTCAAATATTGCAATGAAACTTCTTGTCATGCTATATATTTGAAATACATAATATATGTGTGCAGGGTCAGTGCAAGGGTCTAATGACCCCCACCCCCAATCTATGACATGCCCCTAATCTATGATACAGGATCCCCCACTCTACCACATCTCAATTTTCATAAGGTAGTATTTATATAAAATACAAATGTTATTGTAACCTGATTATGTACAATAATGGATTATAGCAATTCAACTAGAAAAATTGAAAATAAATACAATGTATTAAATACAAGTTAGAGACATGTCATTCCATCTTAAATGAATCAACAATGTTTTGTAGCAATTTTTAGCATCAGTTTGGGATTTTCTTGTTAAAAAATTGAATAATTTTAATAGATTCAAGATTATGGATAAGAAATATTGAATTTTACACAGTGTTTTTTTTCAGACTTAGCATGAATAAAACAAATTCACAGATTTGGACAAAAAAAAGATCCTAGAATGTCATCAAAATCCGTGAAAATTATTCATCCTTTAATAGTCAGTTGTGCTTAGTTTAATTTGTAATGTATATAAATGTAGATAGAAAAAAAGCAAATGTTGATAAGTGGGTCACAAAGCACTGCCTGGATCTCCCAATCAGGCTCGAGCACTCTCCAGTCACGAGGCTTCGGGGGTAGTATGCACCAGCTCTCTATTTGTGGACACAGCATTAGATTTCATGTTTTAACTTGCAACATACCTAATACCATGAATGAAGTGTGTCTTAATATGTAAGGGAGTTAGGATTGTGCTTTGGTACACAAGGAGGTGGTTACCCCAAAAGATTTACAAACCACTGCTTTAAGGTGATAAATATAAATTAATTTGATTTAGGTAATAAATTTGTTTTGGAGCTGGAAGGATTTTTGTGGAGGTATTATTGATAGTAATAGAATAAGATGATAAAATAACAAAAGGAATATAGAAATTTATTGCGATGAAACTGCAAAATAAAAGAGTAATTAGCAAGGATTATTTGTGTTTAAAGTTCTTGTTAGGTGATTGTATGAAAAAAATGTTCTTGCAGCAGCTGCATGAAGCCTAAACATTCCTAAAACCAGAAGAAGATTGCATTTTTAGAATAATGACAAGAAAAAGAGAAGAAAAATGAAACACAAGAAAAATAAATGATATTTGATGATAAATTAGACAGCATCGTGATAAATCTGTTCAATGTTGTGATATTGTACATTGTGTTTTACTAATAAATTTCATTTAAAGTCATTTTGAAGTTGTTTACCTTCTGCCTTGGATTCGTTGCTTTCATTATTGTCAGTATAACTTAATGCAATATCTGCAACCTTTATAGTCCATTAATTCAGGTGTTTTTTGTCATTAACTTCACTCTTATTTATTAAAAGTTACTTAAATGATTTTATACTCAGGTGAAAATTTTGATTTGTATACATTTTAAGAACAGAAAAAGATTGAACCCTAATTTTTCAATAATTATTGGCATTCTTTCATTTAATATTCAGATATCTTTATATTTGATTATCATACAAATTTACATTTTATATTTGTTGGTTGGTTGATTTTGTTTAATGGCATATCAACACCTCTATGGGTTATTTAATGCTGAAATGTAAACATTTTGCATGTAATTTTATACTTTCAGGGTAAAGGTATGTTTTTTAGATAAATAGCTTGTAGATCATAAAATATATTGTTGGTAATTTTTTATAAAAATATGTATTGCTGGTAATTTTTTTATAAAAATATATTGTTGGTCATTTTGCTATAAAAATGTACTGTTGATTTTTGTTTGGGAGTTCACTATTTACTCATAGCTGGGACCCTAACAAGGGCTACCACCCTGGGTCAGAGTGGACATGGGAACAACAGTTAAGAAGTGGTTCCACATTCCTAAACTCCAATTTCTTGATCAGAGGCCTTGCTGCCAGATGTAGTTTATCATCATACCCAGGATCATTTTGCATTTGCAAACACAAAATTGATGTCTATATTATTACGTGGATGGATAAAGAAAAACATTTAAAATGAAAGGAAAGTTTGTGGTACATATAAGTATTACAACTGGCAGTTTATCCCAAGTTATTTATAGTACTAGCTTGACACATTGTATAAAGTTTAATATTGGTTTTTGCAAATAAAAACAACTCGTTTTTGTTTCTAACCTCAAGCTAAGCATTCTAGCCAAAGAATTAATCAATTAGAGAATAAATGAGGCTTGATGATTGGATCTGGGAGAATAGATGCACGGAAATATTCATCCCCATATTTGTATGAAATAATCTGTAATATCTTTTTTATATCCTAATGTTTCAAAATAGAGTGAAATTATGTGTCAGTATGATTATCCATTTTATTGCTTATCCCTGAGACATAAGTAATTAAAGTGAAAATCAGTAATATTATTGAATCTTTAGAGTAAAAATAAATATTCAGGTAGAATATTGCAGTAATTAAAATGGTTATTCTATCATTAATGATTATGGTAGCAGGAATATCATTTTTTACTTTTTCAATTCCACAATTTTACCATCTTTTTTATGAACTAGGTTAAAATTTTCATTTCTTAAATCTTTTAGTGATAATATTCCGCTGTATCAGTCTATATTTCTGAGATGAGGTATTATGTACATTATTTACATGATTCGGACTATTGTCCTCATCTTCGTTGCCATATTTATTACAACGTTTTGGCAGTTGCATGCTCTGACTTTCTTCAGTTGGTTGGAATGTCGAACTGAACCCTTTATTTCGCTCACTGGGGTAGACTGTTCTAGTTCCACATGCCATGTTTTTTAATGGATGTCATTTATCAGTCCTGTTAATTTCCCTCTGAAAGTTCTCCACTGCCTTAACTGGGTATTGAGCTCATACTCTTTGGGTCCTGTCACTGGATCTAACCAACGCCTTTATTCGCTGTGCCATGTGTCCAGTGCACTTTTATGATGGTATTTCTTATTTACTTTCATAATATTGAGTCAAACATGTGGTGTTGCTATATGCTTTATTTCACCATCTTGGCTTCTTCAATACTTATAAGGGACAAAACTCATGAACATTAAAGAGTTCCTATTACATTTTTTTTTAGAATTGCTCATTATTATTGCTATGTTTTTAAGTAAGAAAAATAGTTATTTAGGTTTAAAAATTTGAAAATATACTCCAGTGGAACCTTAGTACACAAATTTAATTCATTCCTGAAGCCCGTTCATAACCCAAAATGTTTGTAAATCGAAACTATTTTTCCAATAGGAATCAATGTAAAATGGATTAATCCACTCTTGGTCCCAAGATGATTGCTTATTTAAACTTTAACAACAGTACTTTGCGCACAAGTTTATACATAAA